GACGACGTTCGACCGAGACGACGACGAGGACGACGACGACGACGACGAGACGACGACAAGCGAAGACGACGACGAGACGAGACGACGAGAGAGANAGAGAGAGAGAGAGAGAGAGTGAATTGAGCATATCAGCGAAATGCAAAAGAAGACGATACCAGCATGTCCAGTTGAAGCAAGAGAATAGCTGCCAGGGGTCGATGCTCACATCGGACTTGTGGGATGCAGGCCATCAATGTATGCATAATGCTGATGCTTCCCTCATTTCGTATTTGACGAAGTAGAGTGATAGCAGATGGCCTGATAAACATATGAAAGTGACGATCAAATTGTAACAAAACTTGATAATTTTCTCATATTTTCATGGAAGCAGAAACAATCTTATCATAAAACTCAGGTCTTGTACCAATATCTATGCAGAGGCCCCAAAGCTGAGACCAATGAGGAGCGTATATTATTTCTATCTATTGCTAAACCATACCAGTAATTAGTGTGAAATCAATCAATTTCAATATTGATTTTCTCAAAGTGAAAAAGCTTTAAATAGGAAAAAGAGATACCAGCAACATGAAATTTTAATAAAAAAAAAGCAAATCGGAACATTTTTTTTTCTCCATTTGAAATAAAAAAGCACATCCTTAACCCAATGTTCATGCCTATGTAACTGAAGGAAAAACTGAACCAAGGCGAGATGGGTTGCCTCATCTTGGGTTTCCAGGGAGTATCTACAATTAAGGGCCTTTCTTTTTTTCTTTTTATTATTATTATTTTTTTTGGGCATCTTACGTGATTGTGCAAGTGTGTATAGATAGATGGATAGATTTCATGTTACATTGACAGATTAAGCCTATACATAATCATATGCACAATAATAAAAGAACTATGTTAAACAACAATTGAGTATATGTGGTATGAGTAGGTGCAATTTATTGTATTTGAATATATACAATGAATCTTAAAAAAACACCATGTTAAAAATAACGTTAGCTTCTTCGTTACCTTAATACTCAAATGATTTTAGCTTGTTCGTTTCCTTAATAATCAGAAAGAAACAATGGTAGGCCATCATGTGATGGATAACTTTCATTGAATATAAAGCAAGGAGTTTGGGGTCACACACCTTGGCAAACAGAGTATTTCAGAAAAGAATTCGAGAGCAACTGATTTTGCATGCTCATCATTACTTTGAAGAAGGTAGACATATGGAGCGATGGAAATAACTTGAGAGAGAAAATTTCTGCATGTTCCATCCAATTTCATACACTTCACCAGAATAGCTGCAGAAGAAACCCTTTCTTCGAAACCTTCAATATTATTGATATTTATTAACCCAGGAATTATCCGAAGAGATAGAATTTCTGATAGATGCTTGTTATTTGTCAAAGCATCAAATGCAGTAACTAGTGCTCGTATCATCATCATTGATGCAGAAGAAGGCCTAAGGGGAAGCAAAATGGGGCCACCAATATAATGATTTGAACAGGAAATAACCTCTACGAGTGCCGGTAAAAGCTCCAATGATCTCATCTCTGATGGTGATGGTTTCAACAAATAAATAAGAACAGAAGCTTCAAATATCTTTCTTTTGAGTGCACAGGCAATGGCGTACAATTTCTTATCCTTCTTTATGGGTTCCATAATTGACCAATCCTCCTTTATCAGCACCGACAAAATAGAGATTGAATCCCTAACAGCTATATCCATTTTGGAATCTGACACTATACATAATAATTGGTTGATAACATCTTTCCTCAAGAGAAAAGTCTTTGCTTCCCTTTTGCTTTCCAAACTGCCCCAAATGGTCGAAATTTCTAGAACAGCATTTTCAGATTCTCTGAGGCCCTTGGAACTGCACAGTAATATGACTGCTTTTACAAACCTACCATTATCAATACCAAATTGTGCAGCATCACAACATTCTTGGGCACCTGAAAATTCTAATTTTCTTTCTATAGCTCTCCTCCTATGGTTTAGTAGTGAAAAACTATCATTTTCAATAGATAGAGATGCCTCATGGCATGGACAACTGATGGGTGAATAGGAGGAGTTCAAATCACTGAGTGAATTATGTGATCTGCTGGAGGAATCACTGGTCTTGACTTCACATGTATCCTCATGAAATAGATTTTTTCTGGCTTCCATGGTTGGAGTAATCGAACCACAAGTTAAGAGTTTCCTGAATCAAGTGGCACATAATATAGAAAAATAGTTAGAGAATTGTTTCTTGGCTCCATAAAAAAGGAAATAATCCACACCCATTTAGATCTAGCAAGAACAAGACAACATCTCTCACTATAAGTTATTGGTTAATGCCACATGCATTATACAGAAACAACAAAACAATGATGAATAAGGAGGAAAAAAAAAAAAACAAAACAAAAACAAGCCAGTGTGAAAAGAATATTAAATGACAATTAGAAACACAAAAAAATATGGATCACATGTCATTATGATCATTTAGTTTAGGCGTTCTAGCAAGAGAATGGAACAATTGTTGTGTGTGTGTGTAAGAGAGAGGGGGGAGAGAGCATTCCAGAATGGAAACAATGCATGAGCATTGGGACTGGCCAGACTTCATATGGCTACAATATCCATAATATAGCTAAAGAAATTTCACTTTCTATCAGAAAATCCTCTCACAGGAAATTGTTCATGGTTATAACCTATCACAACAGATAATCACATTGGCATACCCTGCACCTGCACGAAATTTAGCCCCAACTTCTTCTGCATATGTAGTTAAAATCTCTAGTGAGCTTCCACCATGATGCGACATTGCCTGGTTCAGAAAACAACTTCATGAAAACCTAAATTCATATAATTTCTTTAGCCATTACAGCTCCAAAAATGGTGGAACATGATAGCCGATCCCCAATAGTTGGGATAAGGCTCGGATGATGATGATGACGATGAATTAAAACTCCAAAAATGATCTCTTATTGAGCAATAAATCATGTTAAGAAATTTTTCACCAAAAAAAATCATAATGATTTTCTCAAATGGCAAGAGGCTAATGGAAAACCATAGTGCATTGGTCCAATGAAATGATGGACAGCGATGGAAAGAGTTGGAAACAGCAAACAGGATATGATGTCATTTCATTTGGAAGGTGATGATACGGATTATGAAGTCCATTGCATTATATTATAAATTCCTACTCTATCCATATTCTTTTTTCTTTCTTTTTTTTCTGGCGACTCCACTAGTTATAGATTCATATTTGGGATATTACCACCTTATCACCACCTTATCATCATTTCATTGCATTGGTCCAATGAAATGATTGACAGCGATGGAAAGAGTTGGAAACAGCAAACAGGATATGATGTCATTTCATTTGGAAGGTGATGATATGGATTATGCCTTTCCAAAGTCCATTGCATTATATTATAAATTCCTACTCTATCCATATTCTTTTTTCTTTCTTTTTTTTCTGGCGACTCCACTAGTTATAGATTCATATTTGGGGTATTACCACCTTATCACCACCTTCTGAGGAAGCACTTAGTGTATCATATGGAAATGTATTCGATTGGCAACTCCTCAGGAAATCTTGGAGGCATTTGACTTTCAGACTTGTATCAATTTCAGAGAAGACTGTAGCCACCTTTGAACAAAATGATCGTTCATTCCCCAAGTTACGAAAATCAGTTTTAGAAGAAGAAAAGTCGGCAGCTGCAGATTGACAATGGTATTCTTCATTTATATTTCCACAAGTACCGAGAGGATAGACCCCCTTATCCTGCACCATTTTAGATTTTCTAATCAAATGACAAGATCCCCAGCAAATACTTCAAGTGTTTCATAGAATTCCAGATGTAGAAAATGAATAGAAATAAATTCAGCAGAAAATTCTTGAACAAACAATTTGCCATAAAAAAAAGAAAGAAAGAGAAAGGAGAACAAAACAACTATTTCAAACAAGTAAAACTGAATACTTACCTCATAGTGAAGCAGTCCCGCATCCTCTCTCTCAAATAAATCCGAATGTTGACATTCATCCCCTCGACTGATTATTACAAAGCAAAGAGTCCATAAAAGCTGTAAGAACTTGGCATCCTAAATAAAGGGATAGCATTCATAAATTCCAAGTCCAATATTTCACAAGTCATTATGCTCAGCAACCACCTTTTTTTTTCTTTTTTTGATAAAGAAGCTTTCAATTTCTACACAACAATATAGAGTTTAAGCATCACAACTACACTATGATGATAGGCACAAAACAAGGTATTGATTGAGATCTTCGCCACAGTCCGCAAACGACTGGCACTTGAATTGCAGAATATTTATAGCAGCAACGTACTGTACAAAAATAAGAATTTCAGACGAGTCTGTTTTGAGAGTTCATAGTTTCAAAATTAACTTTTACATCACTTATCCTGCTCCAAATCTATAAATATCACATGTAAAGCAAGAGTATTTCATATTGCATGTTATGCTCATTAATATTGCAAAAAAGAAGTAAAAAACAGGACTAAATGATCAATAAAGCTTGCCCATGAGCACAATGACCTACCATGTCCATTTTTTTGGGGGAGAAACATTAAAAAATGCAACCCTCATCTCTCCCAAGAGCTATACAAATCTATTTTCTTGGCAAACTAAACTCATCCTTTATATATATATATATATATATATATATATATATATATATA